TTCTACCCCCACCCCCTTTTTTGTAAGTGTTTTACGGCGCTCGCAACTGCATAAGGTCATATTATTATGAGCACGCGGGACACATTTAACATTATCAGTTGGTAGGAAATTTGGGATTTTGCCCGGGTGGCGGCCGAAGCCTATTCTTATTGATTTTAGACCACCAAGAGATTTTTAACGTGCGCAACTTGCACACGGGACTTCCGAGATTTTTCATCCTTGTCCGAGAAGGCTAGGTGTAGATCTTTCCTACCAGAAGATCAGGGGTGTGGCAGAAAGACAGCAGTGAGAAGGAGCCAAGGAGTAGCAGTAGAAAGGCTGCAGAAAGAGTCAGGAGCCCTGAGGAGGGGGGAAAGGAGGTAAAGGGCTGGGGGCAGAAAGAGGAGACGAAATCAGACGATAGAATATTGTTAGAGAGTAGGAAAGGAGGTGATGGAGTGGGGGCAGAAAGAGGAGACGAAATCAGACGACAGAACATTGTTAGAGAGTAGGAAAGGAGGTGAAAGGAAACAATTTTAATGAAGAAAATTTTTCGGTCGCTACCCGGATTCGAACCCGGGACCTTTGAATGAGAGGCGAACACCTTAACCTCTAGGCCACGAGAGCCCCCAGGCTGCTTCTAGCCTGCTTCCCAGGACCAGCCTGAGTAGGTCGCATAGTACATCCCAGTAGAAAGACATGGAGAATTCCAGGAAACATTTCGCCCACGACGGAATTGAACTCCGGTTCTTTGTCTAGGCTTTATACTGTCCCCGCAGAATTATGCAAATTCATATGGCCAAATTATGCAAGAAAAATGCCAAATAATGCAAACATTGTGCAAGTTACCGTTACGGCGTTTGCGACTTGTCTTGCACTTTTTCAAGAATGTTCATGTTTTATGTACAGAAGAATTGAAAACAGAACATATCAGTATCAGTAATTCGTTGTGTATTTGGAAAGAAAACAATACACATCAGTCAGAAAAAACAACAAGAACCCAAAAGTATAATCTCTGTAGCTTTCAGCTGGAGATCGAGAAAGGAAAGAAAAAAAAGGGGAAAAAAGAAGGAAAAATCCAAAGAACTTTTTGACTTTAGACAAAAGAAAATGTCCCTGTGTGGAGCAAGTGTCAGACTATCAGTACGTGGGTGTTACAATAGACGACAAACTCGACTGGCGTGTCCACACCTCTCTCCGGCATAAGAAAAGTGAACAAAAGACTACTTTTTGAAAAATGAAGTTTATGTATTTTAAAGTTGATAAATCGTTGACGTCCATATTTTACCTTTCAACCATAGAAAGTATGATCAATTTCTGTATAACTTTAAATATTTGCATGGGCCGGGAACACAAGACAACAAGATAAAGAAAACTTAAATCGATTAATACAGAAATCAAGCAAGATTTCAACATCTACATTCCCCTACTTCGATTAATTATACTTTATGCGAGGGGGGTTCAAGAAGTGTTTGGGTTGAGTATGAAGTAATAAAGATAGAGCTTTGCAACTTGGCACACACACTTTTATTTCCCTCTATACTATAGTCACCATGCAGAGTAACCCATTTCTGCCACCTCTCTTTGGCCTTCAAATGTCCTTGAGAGAAAAATGACCCAGAATGGGCCCTTAACCAGCCTTCAACAGCTTCAATGACATCCTCGTGGTTATGGAAATTACGTCCTTTGGGTGACTTTTAAAGATTGAGAAACAGAAACAAATTCTGAGGGGGGCTAGGTCTGGTGAATAAGCTGGGTGTGGCAGGATTTCAAAGCTTCAATGTTCTGCTGTCTAGACTACTTGTTCTGCCTTGTGCGCAGAGGCGTCGTCATGCAGATGGAGGACCCCATTACGGCGTTTTGCACGCCGCCTTCTCACCAATTCAGACCGCAAATTTATTAGCAAATAAAATCCGAGCAGTGGTCCCCTGTGACTGTTTTTCCATTTTTCCAAGTTGTCAGTCATAGTGATACCTTCACAATCCCAGAACCATGACAGCATGACCTTTCCACTTGACTGTGTTATCTTTGCCGTCTTTGGTGAGGGGGAAGACGGGATTTTCCATTGCATGGAGGACATTTTGTATTTTGGATCAAAATAATAAATCCATGTTTCATCCATAGTCACCAGGTTTTTACAGAAATTTCTGTCATTAGATTCAATTCGAATGAGAGTTTTGCAGGGCTCAGTCCTCTGCTTCTTTTGCTCACTTGTCAAAACGCGGGGTACCCACTGCGCAGGCACCTTATTCATGTGAAGATGGTCGAAGAGAATCGTTTCAATTGACCCTTCACTGATTCTCATTTCACTTCAGAGCTGTGTCATAGTTTTACGTAAGTCTTGTAGAACCACTATCTTCACTATGGATACATTCTCTTCAGTTTCCACAAGGGATGGGCGCCCTTCACGATCTTCATCCATCACCAACATGAATCCAGATTTGAATTTTCGTTCCCAGTATGTCACAGTATTATAACGAGGACATTTGTCACTATCAACTTGGACCATTTCTTGAAAAATGTCCGGAGTGAATTTTCCTTGCAAGTGTAAAAGCTTGTTATCTGAGCGATATTCCACAGCTTCATTTCACAGCTCTGTGGCACAGCTCTATGGCACAGCTCTATGGCACAGCTCTATGGCACAGCTCTATGGCACAGCTTTATGGCACAGCTTTATGGCACAGCTTTATGGCACAGCTCCATGGCACAGCTCTATGGCACAGCTCTAT